TTCGCCATTTCAAAGCACTCAAGCCATTTAGATGTCGCGTCTTCTATCACTAAAAAAAATTTGTTATAGCATGGACCGAAAAAATCCGCATGCAGCCTAGTCCAGGGAATTTCTGGCCATTCCCATACTACTAGAGAAGCTTTGGAAGGGTTTCTAGATGTAATGTTGCATATTTTACAAGTTTGAGCGATTTTTTCTATTTGGCTGTTTATTGACGGCCACCAGACATACGCACGTGCCAACAGTTTCATTTTAACCATGCCCATGTGGGCGCTATGCAATTCATTCAAAATGTTTTGTTGAAATTTTCCTGGAATAATTAACCTATATCCCCACATGAGACACTCATGTTCCACAGTGAGTTCATTTTTTCTCATAAAAAATGGTTTGAATTCATCGGAAGGGCTATTGTTTGGCCACCCATTCCGAACATAGAAAAGAATTTTGCTTAAGATTGGATCTACCATAGTTTCTTTCTTTACTTGTTTGAAATCAATAGGCAAGTCTGATTGCTTTACATAATTAATGTACGTTAATTCTCCTGATTGAATACTGAACACATTATTTGACGGCAATGGTAATCTTGACAAACAATCAGCCGAGTTGTTATTCGAATTTACATATTTAATATCATAATTGAAAGCCGACAATATGTGCGCCCAACGCTGCAACCGATTTGCCGCAAAAACTGGCAAACCTTTTTTACTCCCGAAAATGCTTAACAAAGGTTTGTGATCCGTATATAGTAAAAATTTTTGGCCGTATAAATATTGAAAGAATTTTTTCACTCCGAATATTATAGCAGCTGCCTCCTTTTCAATTTGAGAATATTTAATTTCAGCTGAATTTAATAGACGTGAGGCAAATGCTATTGGTCTTTCAGTATTATTATGCAATATATGGCTGATAGATGCCCCTAAAGCATACTGAGATGCATCTACTGTCAATTTAATTTTCATTTTAGGATCAAAATGGATCAAAATGGAATTTGATAATAATAATTTTTTTGCATTTTCAAAAGATTCGATGCATTTTGATGACCAGAACCATTTTGTGTCTTTTTTCAGTAGACTATAGAGGGGCTGCAATACCTCTGAACAGTTTGGTAAAAATTTGCAATAAAAATTTATCATACCTAGAAAGGATTTTAATTGAGTAACATTTTCTGGTGCAGGTACATTTTTTATTGCTAAAATGCGTTCTTCGGATGTATGCAACCCTTCTTCATCTATTATGTGCCCTAAATACTGAACTGATTTTTGGAAAAATGCACATTTTTCTTTTTTCACTTTTAGGCCGCACTCGTGCAGACGTCGGAGAACATATTCCAGGCGCACCATATGATCTTGCTTATTTTTGCCTGTTATTAGGATATCATCTAAAAAACAGGTGACACCCGGTATAACAAACATTTGCTCCATTATATTCTGAAAAATTGATGGTGCACTAGTGATGCCGTAAGGCAAACGGGTGTACGAAAATAAGCCCTTGTGAGTTGAGATTGTCACTAATTTTCTGGATTCTTCTGACAGCAAAATTTGCTGATAAGCTTCTGACAAATCAATTTTTGAGAATCTTGTTCCACCTTGTAGTTGGGTAAATAAATACTCTATCCGGGGTAAAGGGAAATGTTGAATTTCTAATTGTGGATTGAGAGTGATTTTGAAATCCCCACAAATTCGAATGCTTCCGTTTTGTTTCAATATCGGAACGATCGGAGTTGCCCACTCCGAAAACTCTACAGGAACCAGTACTTTATTGTCTACTAATCTTTGTAATTCTTCCTCAATTTTTGGTTTTAAAGCGAACGGAACAGGTCTCGGTTTGTAAAATTTAGGCACTGCCCCTTCTTTCAATTTTAAGGATACCTCAAATTTATTGAACGTACCGAGCTTGCTATCGAACACATCAGGGTATCTACCAATTAGTTCTGAAATATTGTCAGAAGAATCTACCTGATTTCGTAATAACCTATTCGTGTTATAATTTATCTTACATATTCCAAAATTGAGCATTGTCATAGCATTTCTACCTATTAAAGGGGGGCCTCCGTTTTTAATGACATATGTTTTCAGAATGAAATGTTGATTTTCAAATAGAATATTCAAATTCAAATAACCCAACGGTTGGAAAGTGAACCCTACATAATCACGCAGAGTTAAATCATTTTCTAATAAACTTTTGTTGTGGAAATGTTTTCTGTATAACTTTTCTGAAATGGCTGAATGCGCAAACCCGGAATCAATCTCAAAACTTAATGGTACTTTTTCAACTGTCAGGTTAATGAATGTAGGTTTAACATTATTATAATCACTATTTTCAATATTATTTATTACATTGAGCTCATGCAACCCTGATCCTGTCGCTTGGGAGGATTCATTCTCATTTGAAAAGAAAAAGATCGAATCTTCGTAATCCTCTTCGTGATCTGGTTCACTTGACAAAAAATTGTGCCTGGCCCTACTATTGCACTGCGGAGCCAGATGTCCTTTGATACCACACTTATGGCAAGTACAATTTTTGTATGCACACTCGTAAGATGAATGATTGAACCGCCCACATACTGAACACTTACTTGAGCTGGGTTTTGGAGATTTCTGGTTGCTTACCCCCTGGTTCCGATTCAGCCTCTTTTCAAGGTTGAGATGTCTGGATACTTCACCTTGGTGTGATGTAGTATTGGTCCATGGCCTTCCTATTCCCTGATTTTGTTGGTGCTTTTTCGGCATACCTTGTTGACTATGGAAATTCATGTCGGATTCAGTTTTAATTCCATGAGATCCTATTCCATAATTTTCTCTGAGAGAGGAATGTTCCTTAACTGCAGACTCTTTAGCTAAAGCTACTTTCACCATCGTTTGTAAAGTTACTGTTGGACTGGAGGCGTCCTCCTCAAAGAGTCTGTCGATGAATCTTTCCTCATTGATTCCAATAACAAACAAATCTCTCATCACGACGTGAAGTTCGGTCCCGAAGCCACAATTTGATGCTAAATTCTTTACTCGGGCCTCCCATTCCGACACGCTTTCGTTGAGCCCCCGTCGTGCTGAGTAAAATTTCAACCGCTCTGAAAAGTAGGACTTCACCGGTGAAAAATGCCCGGTTAATACGTTTATCAGCTCCTCATACGTTTTTGTATCTGGTAAGTTCGGCACACACAAACTCCTCACTAACACGTAGCAATCTTCTGATAATGTGTTCAGAAGAATAGCTTTTTTCCGACTTCCGTCTTCAATCCGGTTGGCAATGAAGAATTGCTTAAGTCGCTCAATGAAAACTATGAAATCTGAAGTTTTCGGATCGAATACTGTTAACGAGCCTAAGGTGCCCAAAACCGCCGTTTCCGTCATGATTCACAATTTTGTTAGCACTATCCAGGCACTCCCGCGAAGATTACACGATTCCTCGTCGCCAATTGTTAAGTACTCGAATTATGAATTTGCATAATACGGGATACTAAAACACGAACATAAATATATGCGTATTTATTCAAGTGTCGAATACAACTGACTTCGCGAACACTGTCGTCAATAGATAAACAAAGCTTATAAAAAAGTGTAGTTTTTGCTATCCTCGACTATGGTCTCTTTTAATAGGAAATTCCATAAAAATACATAGCTATATACATGACAGAAACCTACAACTATTCATCACTATTTGATGATGATAATTGAATTGCAACTAACAATTTGGTTTTCAAAGTATTCATATTCAATGTTTCCGCCATTTTCAAAACTGCACTGACCTCGAACGACCTATTAGAGCTCGTGCGAGAATTGTTGCACTGAGCTCTAAACTATGTGAACCAGTTTTCCAATAGAATTCAAAACCCGACACCAGTTTTACCAATGGAATACAAAATATGCACTCAGTGCGAGCCAGTTTTACCAATGGAATTCGTTATAAGTTACGACCTATAGGAGGGTCAACATCTGAGTAGCGACAATATGTTGTCATTCACATGCCCTTTGTGCAACGATTGTGCGAACAATTTCTATATAGTTCTTCTGTCTCCAGTGACACTACTTTTCAAAATCTATGTACACTGTCTCATTGGACAAAAGTCCAGGCCTGCCGTGTAAATCTCCAGACACAGAACGTGCGTAGACTGTCTACTTCGAGTTTTCTATGATCGATAGACAGGGTGGGGTGCACGAAGTAGTAATAATATAATGAGGGAAAAAGGGAGATCGTAAAGTTCGGCTTTATATTCCTTTTTAGGGCTGTTCAAGAAAAAGACCTTTCGACTTTATGTAGTTTGTGGACGTAATCGGAGGGTACTGCGTTTCAGTGGATTTTGTGGGGAATACTTTTTCTACTGCTGTTTCGGAAAGTAAGTGCCATTCTTATAGCGTGCTTAAGTTAAGGATTAAGGTAAACAATGAAGGACACAGGGCGGTAACATGCCCGGGGCAAGTGGCGTACCCTCGGGTACCCACGTCCGTGAGCGCCAAATATTGAAACTGAAGATGAATTTATAATCAATATACAAGGTGCTATCGAAATAAATACATACAACTTGAAGATATAGGCTACATTTCCATAATATAGTACAAAATATGATGTTAGAAAAAATCTACGAAGAGATAGTCAACAGCAAAAAAGAACTAAAGAACACTATATTAGAGGCCAGTGAAGTGAATATTTTGATGAAAGTTGAATCTCTGAAAGAGAAAATGAAAACTTTTGAGAATGAAAACATCGAACTCAAATAGAAGGTAGAAACATTGGAAAGAAATAGCAAAAAAAAACAAGATTGTGATTTTTGGACTTAACAACTATTCAGAGAACCCATCGATAGAGACTATATGTTCACTGCTAAATACCAAACTCGAACTAGAACTCAGTGCAAGAGATATTAATAACATCTACCCCATTGGAAAAACAACCAATAATCCAACAAAAATTGAATTTTTGACACACTACAGCAAAATCCAAGTGTTGCAAAATTGTAAAAAATTGAAAGGTACAAAAATAAAAATTGTTCCTGACTTAACCAGTATCCAACAAGAGAGGAATAAAATCCTAAGGAGACATTTGAAAGAAACCAAGGAGAAAAGCGACGACAGGTGTTATATAAGAGGAGAAAAGTTGTACATCAATAATAGAGCATACACTGTGGAAGATATCCTCGAATTAGAAGAAAAAGAAGGGATTGTACATAACAAGCGGGCAAATAGCGAGCCACCAACAACACCCACAGTCCAGAACAACCATCCATCCGCTCAAACAGAAAAATCTGGAGATTTACACTAAAACTACATGAAATGTTCCATGTAGAACTATGCTAATAGCATAAATAGAACTCACATACAATTATATGTAATGGATTTTAAAACCAGAATTAAAATTGCAATACTTTTTATGACGCGCTTCTTAGCATAGCAACATGATTTCGGAATATCAAAATAGCAGTTTTACTTACGTGACTGCCTCAAAGAACACGCCGCTCCGCCAAGCTCCAGCCCAGACTGGTACTGACTGGTACTCCAGATATTGAATGTTCCACAAATATTTTCAATAATACTTTAAAACAATTTATAAAAGATTAAAAATCAATAGAAATTCAATCAAGAGGAAAGATTGGATAACCAACGGTCTTGTCAAATCAACAGGAAAAAAATGAGCTATATAAAAAAATGAAAAAACAACCCACGAACCCTGTTCTGAAACATGAATTCAATGAGTATAACAAACATCTGAATTATTTGAAAGAAAAAGCATAAAACGACTATTACAGAAATATAATAGATAAAAACCCAAACAGCGCTGCTCAATTATGGAACGTGGTCAAGGAACTATGTAATAAAAAGAAAAAATCCGAGATAGATAGTATAAGGAACTGTGATGGAGAAATTTTGACTAAGGACAACGAAGTTGCTGAAGTTCTAGTAGGATTATTTTCAAATGTAGGAGAAACATTGGCAAAACTAATCAATAAACCAGATGTGAATCATCCAAGAGTCAAAATGCCCAATAGTGATGTTACCAACAACAGAAAGAGAAATTGTAAATATAATAAAAAACTTAAAAAATAAAATAGAATCCTCTGGAATTGATGGTATAATAGCTGAAATATTTGAAGAAATTGTAGAGTTCATTGTAACACCATTAAAATACATTATTAATAGATCTTCAGAGGTCGACGAAAGAAAACCTGCGATATGCATCTTCGTTGATCTAGTTGAAGCATTTGACACCGTAAGCCACACATATCTACTGGAATTACTCGAAAGAATCGGATTTAGAGGAAACTGCTATGATTTGATGAAGAGCTACTTGAGTAATATAATTCAGCACGTCAAAGTTAAAGGAACAGTAAGCCAACCTAGAGAAATTAATTACGGGGTACCTCAAGGAACTATTCTAGGGCCTCTATTGTTTTCAATATACATTAATGAATTGTTCAACTTACATACGAGTGGTGATATAATTAGCTTTGCGGACGATACAGCAGTATTCTATGAAGATGATTCTTGGAACTCCCTGAAAGAAAGAATAAAAACTGATTTTTCCAAAATAACAGATTTTTTCAATAGTAGGTTAGTTACCATTAATGAAACAAAAACACACTTTGTACCTTTCACTAGCTATAATAAGGGATTACCAAACTTTGACCGTATAAACATAACTAACAGAAAATATTCTTTGACAATAACATCTGAAAATCATATCAAATGTCTGGGAATTTATATTGACAGCCACCTTAGATGGAACGAACAGGCAAAAATTTTATCAAATAAATTAAGAAGTCTTACACCAAAATTCAAACTCTGTAAAAAGTTTCGTACCATCGAACAACTCAAGATACTGTACTATGCATTGATACAATCACAGCTGTCGTATATGCCATTGTAGCTTGGGGAGGTCTCCTATATGTCAAAAATAGCTTATCAAAATCATCTATGGCAGAGAGTTCAGGTAGCCAACTCGAAGACTATTTCAAGAAAATGGAATATTTGATATCAGACAGTTATACTGCCAAGCCATATTAACACAGTATTTCAGAGATGGAAACAGACTGGAAATTCCCCATAATTATGAAACAAGATACAGACAAGCATCGATGGTTGTACCAAGAGCGAATAAAACAGTAGGACAAAGGAGTTATTGCTTCTTGGGCTCGAGAATATTCAACCACTCCCAACTAGCATTTATAGTCGCGATTACGTAATTACGACTATTGGGTCGACTATTAAGTAATATTTACTAGTTGCGGTTACGTTATAATTACGTCGTTACTACGTATTTACGACCAAAATGGGGAACAAATCACGAGTAATTATTACGGTTTGCCGACGTAGCGGGAACTCACACAATTACGTAATGCTTACGACCCGTCGACGTCGAAATTACGTAAAGATGTAGTAAATTTTCCTACCTGACTTTCTATTTCTTTTCCACTTCATAAAAATATTATTTTCTCTCTTTATTATTCTTCATTTCATCCATGAAGTTCACATTCACGAAAAATGAACAAGTCCAATATGCCTAACCATTCAATAAATAATACAAGGACAAACACGCGAAATAATTGATACTCGAACTTGAAAAATTCGAACAACATTCAGTTTTTCGATAAATGTGATGATTTTGCCTCGAAATTCAAGATGCGCCCACAAAATACGGCTCATTTCACCAAAAATATGGTTTTATTTCATTCGGCTATTTTTCAAAAATCATCGTAAATCATGTTAATTTCCATTATTATGCAATTTGTGATCGAACGAATGCTATTATTCTTCATAAAATGATGTTTATCAACAAGAAAAACCAAAATTATTTCCTGTTCAAATGGTTATCACATCAATCAATATGGCTTCCAATCGAAAATGAATCAGAAAGTTACTTTTGGAACTCGTCAGTTATGATAACCTATGTATTGGTAACTTCAACTGAATATAATTACCGAAAAGTTGTTTCAGCTATGAAGGAATTGTTTGAGTAGAAATTACCAATATGTTACTTGAAATATCACCAAGAATTGACTAAATTATTAGGTGATCGATCAAGTAACGACAACGTCGTAGAAACCTAATTGGTGACCATAGAGTAATTGCAACTGTGAAGCCTTCTTGGGGTGGTAAGCGTTACCGTAATAATATATCCAAAGTTCCGAAACCTTAAGAGTAGTTTTGAGGAGTGACAGTTTCGAAATAGTAACTTCGTAATAAGCCATGAGAATTTCTCACTTTGAAGTTATTATCTAGTGTAAAAACTACGTAATTTTCACTCACTAAATAACTATCACTGACATTTATACTATGAAGTTCTGAAATAAGTGATAAATACGTTATTATCACTAAATATAGGTAATAGTTTCTTGAACCATGGTGCCTGTGACTGAAAATACTCTTACCAATCGAGATTAAAAAAATTAACTCATTCATGTTATGGAGAGCCAAAATCAAGAAATGGATATCCACCCAATCCAGAATGAAAATACACGAATTGATAGATCTAAAAAAACAACTGAGAAATATGTCATTACCTATCGAATTTATATCAAATTATTAATTTTCTAGTTTTTCAAATATTCATAATTGCTCTGTATGAAAGAATAATTCATAGATCGCTATTGTATTGTATAGACAACCATGCTTCATTCATCAACTATCGACATATATTTTCATTTCATTCTCTTACCTGTGTATAATAACTCTATAATTTCAATGAATATGTATTTACTTCTTTTTGTTACTATATGAGATGATGAATAAAACTTATTATTATTATTACTATCAAATTAATGAGGAATCTCGTGAGGAATTTCATCTATTCTGAAATCGACCAAATAAGCGAAATAAAAATCGAGAACGCCACTTATTAAGAGCTATTGAAACTATACCATTCATATACCCACTAAACATGATACATTACAAACATATCTTTCAGTTATAAGTTATGTGATATTGTTGAAATAACATTGCGACAATGTCCTTCTGAAGTATATCCAACATAATATTATGAAGCATAACGTTTATGAGATGTTGCATCAATATTGAAATCGATATCATTAGATAATTATGTTGATTTTAGATTCATCAAATATATCTCAGATAGAGTTGTTATGTTATTTGTGCAACGTTTTCGTTTTACCACCTTATAACGTAGCTTACATATAGAGGATACAAGAGAATGATATTTTTCCTTCTACGGCAAACTAACCTTGTCAACTGTCAAAAGTGAATTCAATTCCATTCCAGCCATTTTGCTTGTTGTCTTTTATGGTGAACAGGTCAAACAGTGTGATCTGTGAGAACTCGGTGAAAACATTGATTTGAAAAATTCTATCAATGAAATTGGAGTGTAACCAGGTTACCATTGCCAAAAACAATCTATGAATGATCTTCAACAGAAGAAATTCGAAAGTATCATCAGTAACATCATTCAATAATAGCCATTGCTAAATCAAATATGCTATCTTGTTATACAAATCTTACAAAACTGTACACATTTTTAAGAATTGTTAGCTAGGTACCTAATTTGAATAAGTAACAGAACAATTTGAAAGTGCCAATATTTTTTAATCATTCTTCTGGTCATCGATTTGTAATCTTCCTAAAAAAATATATCCTGACTATTCAGAATGCCTCTGAGATGAATTGAAATACTTTCGAGTATCCATTATTCCTTCATTGATTTAGAATCCATTTGCCAACTCATGCACAACCTCAAAAGGATCAGGTTGAATGGTGGCGATAGCAAAAGTCAAAAGCAGATAACTTGTTGAAAGTGGCTCGATCGGCTATCATATCTACAGTCAAGTTGGAATACGATGATTCTTGATACGATGCAAGAGAAATTCAGATATCCGAAATGAGCAAATCCAATTGCGTGAATACAATGCGATGGTGGATGGTCAAATTCCCGAAATTAATTGTAGTTTGGACTAGTATTGGAGGATCCTTTCGGTATAATCAGTGGTGTCACTCCCGTGGCTCCAGGGTATATACAACATTTCACATTGTTCGATACGTTATATCCTTGATCACAGATATACACAGGGTCTAGCTTATTACAAAAATCAAACAAGGGATAAAGAATTGTTATTTCAATAAATCAATCTGATAAAAATATTGAATCAAAAAAACAGGTGGCGTACAATGACATTCACCATAAATATCGATAAATATACCCACTGTGACACCACTGGAAATATAATATCGAATCTAATTGCACCAGAAGAAGCTCCATATTACTATTAACAAAACCACAACGTTTTATTGAGATTGATGAAAAGACAATTGACTAAT